GGGTCTGTGCTGTAGGGCCAGGAGCTTGGGGCTGCCTGCTCACCCAGGCCCTGGGGTCACCGTGTTTGCAGCCACCCGTGGGCACAGCCCGCCCTGACTGCAGTTCCCCGTCCCAACCCCTCACCCAGGCACCTGAATGGAAAATGCGCCGTATTTAGAGCAGTTTCTCGCTGTAAAACTCTCCTGTTACCGTGCCGAAGTGGTACAGACCCTCGCTGGGGAGGCTCCTCCCATGGCTTCTGGCAGGTTGGTTGTTTGGGGGTTTTTATTCTTCAAGCTGGCAGTATAACTGGTGATGTCTGATAAGTGCTTCGATGTGCTCAGCAGTTCAGAGGATGCCAAACTACAGCTTGTTCCCTTGGAGTTTATTTGTCACAGCAGCACAGGGAAGGCACACACCCCCCTCCCTCCCACAGGCTCCTCAGAAACTCCAGTGAGTCACTTGGGCAGCCTGTCCCTGCCCGTAGCTCTGCTCCAGGCTCACAGAGGGACAAATCTCTCTGTCTGGCCCTGGCCAGGGCGTGCCTGTGTGCTGGCTCTGCCTTGCCTTTGCTCAGTGTTGGCTGGTTGAGCATTTCCATTTCACAGCAGTTGAGGAGAAACCAAGTGTTCAATAATGCGTCGCTGGCAGAAAGTTGTGGAACAACCTCAGTTGCTGTTCCCCTCTCTTTATTTATTAGTTTTGGGGTGATGAGCAGCAGGTGAGTCTGACTTTATCATTACCAGAAAATGCCAAGTGATCAAAGTTGATGGTTTTTTTCCCCTCTTGACAAATCTTGCCACAGAAAATGAAGAGGAGATGCACGACTTGCATGTCTCTAAAATACTATTGTGAGGTTGCTGCCTAGTTGTCTGGGCTTTTGGGCTTTGTCCTGGTAAAACACGAGTGGTCTGAGCGCAGCTGAAGTTGGGGAGAACACAGTAGAACATGGCTTCATCTTTACTGGAGGTTAATATCGATCTGTGCTGAAGGAGCTTTTGGTCCCAGGAGAAGTCAGAATGGGTTTCTCTGTATTGAATCAGACATATTCCATTTCAAAGGTCTGCAGAGATTTTTAAAAAGCAAAGTGCAGTCAGTCTTACCTGAAAGTCCACGACGAGAACTTAATCCTTCACTGCAGAAACAGCAAAGGGGACAGATCTGTGCTTTGAATCATAGAATCATAGAATGGTTTGGGTTGGAAGGGCCCTTAAAGCTCATCCAGTCCCAACCCCCCTGCCATCAGCAGGGACACCTTCCACTAGACCAGGTTGCTCAAAGCCTCATCCAACCTGGCCTTCAACACTTCCAGGGAGGAGCAGCCACAACTTCCTTGGGCAACCTGTTCCAGTGTCTGACCACCCTCACAGTGAAGAACTTCTTCCTAATATCTCATCTAAACCTCCCCTCTTCCAGCTTAAACCCATTTCCCCTTGTTTTGTCATTAACTGCCCTTATGAAAAGTCCTTCCCCAGCTTTCTTGTAGGCCCCCACTTTCTTGCAGTTCACTCAACTCCCATTTTCACTGAGTTTCTAGCTTCAGAAAAAAAAAAAAAATAAAAAGTGTCTGTTCTTTCCATCAAAAACTTTTCAGTTGGGAAGGGCACAACTTCCCAGTGCTCTGGGTCAACTTTAGACAACTCCTGACAAAGCCAGCACCTATAAATACCCAAACCCCACCATCTGTCACTCAGCTGGGGCTGAACCGTGGGATTGCTGCCTGCCTACGCGGCAATACACCAGATTTATCGCTATTATTAGCTGACTTGCAGCACAGAAGTGGGAGCTGTAGGGACATTAAACCCTCTAGAAGCTTTCTGGCCAGTTTCTGTAACTTGTCCCTCTGCTGCCCCGTCCGCAGGTGCCTTGAGAAGCAATGGCCACAGCGGCTCTTGTGAACTCAGCACCATCTCACCTCTGCTTCCCTCCAAGCACAGCGGTCGCTTTCTCCTGGACAATTGCCATCGACATGCACGTCACCAGGCCAAAATCTGCCAAGGGACGCACCAGGCCGAGCTTCAGTTGCTCTCAGAGTGTGGAAACTTGTCCTTGCCGAGTGCCACCTTCCCCCCCTCCACCAGCAGCTCCCCACGAATTGGTGAAAAGCCGGAGAGCATCGTTCAGAAAAGCAGCGTTCCCATCTGGCCAAGTGTCTCCTGAGGAAATCCCGGAGCTCCTGCAGCAAGTGCCTTTGAGGACCTCCTCTTCCCTGAACAAGTACAGGGTGCTCCCCTCCATCGGCCAGAAAGGTGCAGGGAGCAGCAGGGCTGTGGAAACAGCCCCTGAACAGAGCGACCGGCTGGAAGCGAGCTGGGGACAGGAGGACACTCTGAAAATCAAAACTCTCCCTGGAGAACAAGGATCTGCCAGAGTATTGTCAGGAAATGATGTCCCTGCTGAAGAAGGCTCACGTGTGCAATGTCCTGAGAAGCTGGGGAGGAAAATGAGACAAGAGAGCCCTTTGACATCAGCTTTAATTGTGGAAGAGCCGCCCAAAGAAAAGTCCCACTTGCTGCTCGCTGTTCGATCTCCATCTGGTCAGAGATTTGAACATCATTTCAAGCCCACAGACAGTCTCCAGACAGTCCTTGCTGTGGCAGAAGAGAAAATGTCGGCCAAGTACCAGCACTGCAGCATTGAAATGATGGAGGTGCCCCGAAGGAGTTTTTCTGACCTCACGAGGTCCCTCCAGGAATGTGGGATTCTCCACAAATCCGTGCTGTGCATCCGCCTGAAGGAGCAGCACCAGGCAGATCTTTAGGTGCGCGGAGACGCCGCCGCTCTGGCTCGTTCTGCTGGGTGGGATGCAGTTTATTCTTCTGAAAAACTGAAATTCTGGTGTTTCCTGGGCTGACTTCTTCATCTTGCAGCAGACTTGTATCTGAAATACGTGTTGAAATAGGATTTCCAGTGTCTATACCTGCTGCATCTTTTTTCACATGTGCCATCACAAATTGCTTCCTCAGCACCACCAACCTTTGGCCTTTTTGGGGTTTGTTTTTTACATTGTTGATGTTTTTCTTTGAAGACTGAAGTTTCCAAGACCTCTCCCTTCGTCCTTTTCCATATTTCAAGAAGGTACCACTTCCCAGAGCGGATCTGGATGCAGAGGCACCTAGTTGACAAGGTAGAAATGAAACTGTTTTACTCTGGAGGACTCTCTTCAGTAGGTCACCATCATCCTAAAGCCTCTTCTTGAGAGATCAAACCTGAAAATCATCTGGAAGTGACAGTAATTACATGTTAATGGATTATTGTGAAGTATTAAATTGCAGATCGATGGTAATATCCCTGTGGGGGCTCAGCTCCTTCTGCATAACCTCAGTGCAGCTTCTCAGAGCGTGACTACATCATCTTTTGAAGAACAAATAGTTATTATTTTGGTTGTGTTGGTGAGCAGCAGAATTTTCCACTAAGTTTTCCTTCTCTCATTCAACTCGTGTGATCCATAGGTAAGAATAGTTGGGATAGTTAAGATGGGATGTTACAAAATATTTCCATTTAACACTTTTACACTGAAATGAATTAGTCCAAGAAAGCAAGTGCTGCTTTGGGGACTTTAAAATATTATATTAATTGGATTTGACTGAGGAATTGGCTCTGTATTTCACTAAACCCTCATTAAAAAAAGGCTGGTAGGAGAACTCAGCAGGTTTTTAGATAAATACAACGTGCTTGTGCTAAAAATAAGAATCTTCATTGGAAACCTTAGAAGATCTTTATGGTTTATAATTGAATCTACTCGACTGTTGCCACACAGTTGAGTTAGTTTTAATATTTTGAGGTAAACACAAGGTTTTTTTTTAATCTCAATGTAATTGCCAAACCAACTTGGAACAGAACAGTGGTAGGAACAGAACAGTAGTAGAAAGCTGATGCCAGTGTTGACCAAGAACGTATCATCTCCTTCAAAAAGCAAGTGTTCAGGGTCCAGCAGTTTATAAAAACTGTACCTGATGTAACCAAATCGTGTTGCCTACGACTGCAGGTGATGGCAGTTGCACAGGAGCCATCCTGGTGTCTTCAGGGAGAGCAGGATCCCAACCCACACTGGGTGCTTTCAATCAAACCTCAGTGGGGAACAAAGTATTTCACTTAGTTTCAGGAAGAGGAACTGTTTTCTGTGTTTCATTCAGTGTTAAGTGGTTATTTCCCTTCTTATGATGTTGTGTATAATGTTACTTCCATGTTTCAGAGTGTTTTCCTACTGTGTGGTGGTACAATCAATAAAACCTTTTAGGTGGAAACTTGAACTTAAACTGATTGATGTGAACTGGAGGCTCAGCCATCGGATCTCCTCTTAATGAGAAATGCCATTAATTTGATGGCAGATTCCTTAGGGACTGTCCAAGTCAGACTGTGGACAGTCAGCCACTGTCTGCACCATCTTGCATGCACCTTCCTGGAGTTGGTATCTCCATCCTGTATTAAATACAAGTTTTTATCTCCATCCTGTATTAAATACAAGATCACAGCACAGGAAGCACTTCGGATCAGTGACTGATCAACAACCAGAGACACAGCGACCACCAGCAGCTTTGAGAGCGTACAGGGGCCGATGCTTTAACCAAGAGCAGAAGAATTAAGAGCAACTTGGATCCCAGTGGTCAGCACTTCTCATGCCAGAGGATATTCCTTCTGAACATCTCCATCTAAGATAAGCTGAATGAGTTTGGTCCTCTAACAACCTCACCCAGGCTCTGGCAGTTCCAGAAATGTGCTTTTTAATAATTTCTTTTTCTAAAAATCACACCAAGGCTTGATCTAAGCAAGTGCAG